ATTCAGCACACTTTACACAAGGAGATGCAGTATGGGAGAGTGATGCAGAGGAAGCCTTGTCTCCGCCCACATCACCAACAAGACAACCACCCTAAACACTGCTCAGAATCTACTGAGGCCTTCATGCAGAGGAACAAGTAGAACGTTCTGGAATGGTCATCTCAGTCCCCAGACCTGAAGATTATTGAAAATCTGTGGTGTCACTTAAAGAGAGCTGTCCATGCTCAGAAACCATCAAACCTGAATGAACTACAATCAAACAATCAATGATTTAAAAAGGTAAATAAGGAAAATTAACAAGGCTGCACAAACTTTCTCACCCCACTGTATTTACTTCTGTGAGGGAAGCATAGTGCCAACATGCACCAGGGTATGCTATCAAAACAGCAAGCCCTGGTTCAAAGGTAATCTCAAGCTGGGTTCCCACCAAATGCGTTTGGAGCAGCCAAAATGTTCCTGCTTCATGTGTTCGGCTGCTTGTCAACAGCTGCCTGTTCACACCAAACACGTCTAAAGATGCGCAATGGAAGGAGCGTCTTTGTTCTTTTTCCAGTCAGTTGATGTTTGAAATGAAGATAAAATAAATAAAATAGCTTTGCTTTATTTACTAAAGAGCAAGAGAATGTTGCGCACCGAGCAGGTAATTAATTCACRAGATAATTTAGAGGCGCTCTCACGGACTTTTTTTTCCAGACCGGAAAAAAAGACCGGCTGTAGAGGGAGGATGGTCTTGGTTTTTCTCCGGTCTGTCTTTAGTGATGGGTGAAATAAAGATGAAATAAATGGCTTTGTTTTATTTACTAAAGTTTCGCCACTCCAGGAACTGCGAGCTTATCCTTTTTTTTGCCCCGAGCTCAGCAAGCTGCTGCTGTCTCATCACATCGGTGCTGATCTCTCCAGCTAGAACATCAACTGCAGACTGTGAATTTCAGCTAAAAAGGCTCCTGTCAGTCTGTGTCGGGTTCATGAAACCATCACGTGAAAAAATATTCTCTCCCGATTGGTTGCTGCTGTGCAGCGAGCAGCCAAAGTGCATGTGCAGAAAAATAAACTGCCGCATGTTGTGCACTGCTCTCAGCTGGCAAAACACACCGCTACGTGCTGCACRGCTCCTAGATGAGRGGCCACCATAGACTTTGCATGTAAACCGGCTGCTTCTGCTGCTCCAAACGCGTTTGGTGTGTACCCAGCTTCAGGCGTCTCAGACTAGAGAAAGGGACAGCGCTCAGGAGGGGAGAGAGAGCTACAAGGTGGCAAAATACAAGTTTAGCAGGGAGGTGAGAAAAGCTGAACTTGTGTATTCTGAAAGTCTCCAGCAACAGCTCTCTGAAAATGACTCTGCCTCAGTGTGGAGGGGGCTCAGACAGCTAACCAACTACAAGCCAGCTGCCCCACTGCTGTTGATGATCAGAGCCTGACCAACAAACTCAATGAGTTTTACTGTTGCTTTGATAAACCTTAAATGCCTTAAAGGTCCTAATACTCCATTGTAATATTGTTTATACGTATATTCAGAATTAAAAACAGAACAATCACATTGTAAAAAGTGCTTCCCCTGCCACCCTAGCATCTCCCCTTTTTTTCCCGGCAGAGTGGGCACGGTTTTCCCTGTCATCAGGAGGCGTAAAAATCGGGGGGCGCGGCTATTGGGTACTGCAAGCTACAGCTAGGTATTATTGAGAATCACAGCTGACCCTTCTCACCCCGGTCACAAACTGTTTTCCCCTCCCCTCAGACAAAAGACTACGGTCCATTTGGACCAGAACCTCCCGCCACAAGAACAGTTTTTTCCCGTCAGCCATTAGTCTCATGAACAATGTTTAATCAGCTCTGGCCCATCGCTGCTGGCCACYCTTGTGTTTTTGTTCTCATTCTTCATTTTGTATTCTGACTTGTTTTTCTTCCTCACTTCTTGCTTATGTGCACCATTACACCAGAGCAAATTCCTACTCATTTACTGACAATGGCAATAAAGTGTTTCTGATCCTGATTCTGAAAACACAAGCTGAAAAAACTAAAAGCAACAGAACAGTAGGTAGAAGCTAAAACTAGCAAAACAGTAGCTAAAGGTTGTTCCTGCTGCATTGAGACATCAGTGTGCTTGCTCCTTTAGATGTCAGCAGTAAAAAAGAACCAGGCAGTGTGAGGCAAGACAGCTCCTGGTACCTAAGCAGTACAAAAAGTCCCTGTATGTTGAAGAAATGCCTGCCAGTGATTTGTCCTCACACCCCGTAGCTCCCRACCTGAACCCCCCACTCCACCCCCCCACCCTGGCTCTGTCTCCAGATTTCAAACCCTCTTATAAATTATTCACAAAAATTCTGCACATTCTTTGCAGCCGAGTGGCCCACTGACTTTCTGATGTGATTACAGGAAAAAAGTGTGGATCTGGGATCYTCTCATTTGGGACAGAGTCTTGCTGTCTCAGATGAATAGATGGAATGAGGAGGAAGCAGTAATTCTGAGCCAGTGAAGGGAATAAAAGAGGGAAATTGGCTCTTTACAAACCAGTCAGTCAAGCAGCGACCAGTTTGCTGAAATCACAAGGGGCACTGCTAATTTTTTGGCACTCTCAGCTGGAGAAAGGCAGCACTTCTCCTAATGATTCTTAAAAGAAATGCTGAAGGAGAACAGACTAACAGTTGGGACACGTGTTCACATTCAGAACACGATCCAATTTCTGCTGACAGAGCAACAATATGTGTAAGAACTGCAGAAATGTCACAAATATCCTGAGGACAGCTGCAAATAAACACCAACAAACACTGAACTCACATCACCACCAGTGAAGTTGAAAATTTGACTAATTTATGAGAGTTATATCAAGTAAAAACAGCAAATGAGCCATTGGTGAGATAATAAAAATGATTATCAATAATTTCTTTTCTGACCTGCTGTCTCTCTCTGGGATTTCTTTGATGGCCAGTCGGACCTGGTTGCTGAGGTCTCTGCCGGCATAAACGACTCCGAATGTACCTTTTCCCAGGATCACCCTCTCTCCGTGCTCATCGTACTCGTAGTCATACTGCAGAGACAAACCACAGATTTATTTGATTTCACTTTTCTTTCTGAAACTACAAAAACGTTTAGTAAATAGATTTGAGATTGCAGGTCGTAACTAACTGTCCCTCAGCTCAGCAACTAGAGTTGAATAAAAACAAACAAGAAAAGCCTCAGAGAGAAAACAGTTAGAAATTTGATCTGTTCCACTRTGAGGCAAAAAGGGCGCGGCGGCGTTCTGCGTAATGAGCTTTTCTTTTTCCAGCAGCTCTGATAGAAAAACCAGGTGAATGTATCAGCAGGTATCACAATGCTGAAACTGAAATCCAGGCTTTATCCCAGCAGGTTTCTGTTCATTTATAAAGGTTTGCAGCTGCGCTTCAGTTCAGTCATTATAATGTGAAGAGTCATGAACACAGCGTTTGATGAACAAAAACTCTTCGTTTCCACAAAGAACCCAGCCTGTTGGGTGCTACAACAGAAAATTTTCATTCATCTTTAGCAATTTTTTTAAATTCTTTTTGATGAAAACAACATTTAAAATGGGCCAAAATTCCTCACAAAACACAACAGGATGTGGCTAATTTGCATTCTGAACAGGGGTGGAGCTTGATTTTTTTATTTTTTATTTTTTTTTGCTGGGGTGGCCAAGGTGTTTTGGAGACACATACAAAACAGAAAAGCAGTCTGGATATAAAAATTCAAGATGGCCACCGCAGCTAATTCTAAAATGGCTTRATTTCAGCTGTTTTAAGAAATACTGAGCTGAAATTCTGAGTAGTCGAAAACAATCTTTACCAAATTCTTAATGCTAGTCAAAAGTTCAAGATGGGCACCCAAGCTAAATTTAAAAGGCTGTAAATCAGCCATTTTAAGACTTATTGAAATGAAATTTGTTGTGGAGTAGCTAAGAATGATCACATACCAATTGTGGATGCTAATCCCAAAATTAATCTAACCTSTGATGTTAATGATAATTATACAAAGGGCTATGATTCAGTTATTCTTAATCATACACAGCTAAACATTTTATGTAGTGCAGTAGTATAAGATAACAATTTAAATACAAAACCCAATATCTCCACCCACTTGTCAATCATTTGGGGTGGCACCTGTGGTGGCCAATCAGGTGCCAGCAGTGGTCATTGCCACCCTGGCCACTCATCTGGCCCAACCTCTGGTTCTGAAGAAAATTTAGTATCATCCTGTTATGACTTCTCCACCTGAGGAAAAGACTCTCTCCTATCTGGAGGAAGGAATTCCACCTGCTCAAGAACAAATAGAGACATTAAGCAACTTTTWATTTTTAATCTAACCATTTAAATAGTTGGACAGCTCCTTTCCTGCTTGGCASTTATTGCTACTTCAACTACCTGCAGTTTCAGCTGACATGAGTCGTTCTGGTTTGTATATTGTATTTCCAATAAATGCAAATAGACTTGAAGATGTTTTATTTTTTTGGTTAAACAAAGGCTATAAATATAAATCTGAGTTTTCTCACCTCTAAGATGTCAGTGTCACACTCTCCTTCTTCTGGACCTTTCCAGGCCTCCTCTGTTATACTGTTGATCAGATCACAGAATCTGCCAAAGATGAACATACAGTATTTAGCACAAAAAAAGGAAGGACACAACAACTGAGACAGCTGGATGGGGGATCGAACCAGTAACCTTCTGGTTCCAGGACGACTCCCCTAACAACTCCACCACATCTGCCCCTTAAATCAGCAATTTTGTAATATTTCTTTAAGATTAGGAAGTGGTTACATCCGTGTTCTTCACAGATAAGGAGGTSTTACTGAGATTTGTTCAAAACCCTGAGTCCTGAAACATGACAAGTATAAACAACGTAGTTTACAGAAACTTAAAGTGGCACATAATGATGGAATGAGGTTGCTGCTTGGGATGCRAAGATGGACTAATGCTAGTCAGTTATTTGTTGGTGTTGGTGTCTCCACTTTTAATGCTGTTTTACAAAACCTTATGTATAGGTTTATGTGGAGGCTACGTGTCTCTACAAACAATGTCATCGAGATACAAACGGATATCTCACAAAGCTCAGTCAGGTTTAAGACCAGAATGTGGAATCACTGGTGGTCTAGCCTCTCTGTAACTCAGTGATTTGTTTTATGTGTTTTATGTGATTATCATCTCTTTTTTGTGATTGTTTCCTTCTCTTTTTTATTATACTTTTCTATGGACCTATTTTGTGTCTTTAATAAAGTTGTTGATGATGATGATGATGATGACGATCATGATGATGATGATGACATTTTCAATACTCCATTATTTTGAACAATAAAACTGAACTAAACCTTGAGTGAGGTTTCATCAAGTGTAAATGTGTCTTAGAAAAACTCTGACTCATGCAGATGTATTCTCAGACTACAACTTCAGGGCACCTCTGTTCAGTCAAATGTTGAATAACACTGCAAGAAACACCTAATAGACCCAACAACTGTCCTCTAATTTTAAACCTAACCCTTAATTATCCAACGATACACTGAAAAATCTTTGTTGTAAAGTGATAGGAGAGGGCAGCCAAGCAGCTGTAATCACATTAAGGAAAGATTTATTTCATTAACTTAAAAAAGGAATGTGACACAGACAATTATTACTCAGGGAAGAAATAGACTGACCTTCTACAGTGCATCTCTGTGCAAAAATAGATCTGGAAGTCCTCAGCATTGTGGAGGACATAGAGAAAGGCACTACGTTCATCAAACTTGGAGATGCTGAGGAGGAAAAATACAGTTAGTTGAGTTCTAATCACAGATCTTATGACATCAGCTATGAAATATTTTCTGAATGCAGCCCATACAGTGGGGTGCGAAAGTTTGGGCAGCCTTGTTAATTTTCCTGATTTACCTTTATAAATCATTGATTGTTTGGATTTTTAAAAAATCAGTTAAAAATCAGTTTTTACAACCATTTATMTGTTGTTTAAATCAAAATGATGCTTATTTCTGCATAAAAGAAATAAATATGAAACTTTAATCCTGTGGTTTGAGCACTCGTCCGTTTCTGAGCGAGCCGAGGCCAGATCTGCTGAGCCAGACTACAAACGGTCTGTGGTGGWACTTCAGCCTGCAGAGCTGCTGTTTGTCCTGCTGACTGTCTGCAGACTGAGTGGGCACAGAGAATGAGTTGTTCCCTAGCAACATGTGAGCACAACCCTCCAGTTCTCTCTGATCAAGACACTGAACTCCTCTGAGGACCGTGGAAAAAAAAAATGGAGAAGAAAAAACAACAGGCCCAAAGTCATAAAAAATTTGTTGATTTGAGGAATCTGATCAACTTTGGAGCTGTGAGAAATAAATCTTTTAATATACATTTTAAATTCAGTTAGTATGAAAATCAGGCCTTTGTTTAAAAATTTGCATGTATTTCTGGAAAATGTTTTGAAATTACATACAGATAGAACTGTAAAAGATTTTTTTTCCAAAACAGGATTAAAAACAAGTTCATGTATTTAGATTACTGAGGATAAAAATATCTAAACATGCATTTTTGCCTGTGTTCCCATGCCTGTTTGTTTATTTCTCATGCTTTTGGGAGAGTTGGCGTGCAGAAACCTGGCAGTAGAAAGGAGACATGCAGCAGAGAAATAAACTAAGGGATTAGGGTTTGTGTTGAACGTCTCAGAGTATTTGTTTTGAAATACACGGTTCCTTGTCAAGAACTCAGAAAGGTGCAGTGACTCCCAGGAGGCTGCTGGCTGACAGTTTAACTCAAAGTACCAGCAGGTATTTGGGAAGTTCCCTGAAGAATACATTATGTTAACACTTTGTGAGAAACAGAGGCTGCTGTTGTTTTTCTTCTGCATTGAAGTTTWTTCAAATACAACATGAACAAGGTGAATTCAATCAAAATCGGCACAAATGGTTAGCAGTTATTCTTGTTTTTCTCATTTGACAACTCTGCTGGATTTGATTTTAATAAATGGGAAAACTGCTTTTCCACATAGACACACCCACAAAAGTTCTGGCCAATCAGAAAATGCTCGCCTCAAACTCTGAGAAAATACTTCTGTCGGGGTTCGTGCACAGAACAGAAAATCAAAAAGATYGTAACCAGTTCAACAAGAATCACTTCAAATGGAATATAAATCCATCTTTAGTCTAAAACTCAGGCATGAAAGTACGTTGTCATGCATTGTTTCAATGACTGCCTGTCCTTTTCTTCCATTTGTTTTAACTCTAAGATGAAAAATTCCTCCTGAAGCCTTCAGTCTCAAACAGAAACTTACTGTGGACCTTTTGACAGAGGTATATAAAGTACTTAAAAATAAAGATGAAAATARCTTAACAGAAAATGACTTTGGTRAAAATGAATTTCATCAATAAGAAAAGTACTTAAAGGGGCAATATTATGTGCTTTCCAAGTCTATATTTCAATTTTATACTAAAATAAAGTAACTATGTCACATTTTCAGCTTATGAAAAGACCTATATATTTGTAAAAATCCCCAAAACAATTTATTTCTCATCTTGACAGTTTCTAAACACCTTGAAATAGGTCTCTGTTTCTTTAAGAAATCCAACCACTTCGGTCACGCCCATTTCAGCACATAGCCTGCCAGAGTGTGTGTGTGTGTGTGTGTGTGTGTGGGGGG